TCATTTGAAAAGATATTGCAATCAGTTGAGAGGGGCAGGTGGAAAAGAAGAACTTTTGATGGCCTATTTCGGGGAGAGCTTGACGGGAATTGCGTCAGAATGGTACATAGACCTAGACATCTCCCATTGGCATATATGGGATGACTTGGCCCGCGATTTTGTCAGGCAATTTCAATACAATGTTGATATAGCCCCAGATAGGAATTCTCTGACCAATTTTAAGAAGAAAACTGCGGAAAGATTTCGTAAATATGCTATCAAGTGGCGTGAGCAAGTAGCCAGATTGAAACCTCCTATGGATGGGACAGAAATGTTCAATGTTTTCTTGCAGGCCCAAGAGGCCGATTACTTTCAGAACATGATGTCTACCATGGGCAAACCTTTTGCAGAGGCTATAAAAATCGGAGAAATGGTAGAAAATGGCCTAAAAACTGGCCGAATCATAAGTCAATCTGCTTTGAGAGCCAGCTCCCAAACCATCCAGAACGGCTTGGGAGGTTTAGCAAATCGAAAGAAGAGGGAAGAAGGAGCCATGATGGCTTCAGGTTTGAGAGGCCCCCGTCGATCCCGCGATCATTCTTACCTATCTTCCAGAACCCCACAACACAACTACCCCATCAAGATGCAGCATATGCCGTGTCACCGCCTCTCTATGCGGTGATGAATGCCCAACCTTATACACGGCCACTACAACACTACAACCAAAACCGAGCTCCACCTCCTAGAAATAACCATCCTTACCAAGCTCCATATAACCCCCGTCCCCCACAAAACAATTACCAATATAATACACGCTCCCGTGAGCATCCTATGAGAAACGACTTCACCCCTATTGGTGAGTCCTACTCTAGCCTGTTTCCAAAATTAGTCCAGATGGGTCTATTGCAACTTGTGCCTCCAAACCGGCAAAATCCGAAATCTCCATCATACCGGCCCGGTACCAGGTGTGCCTATCATTCAGGGGCAGAGGGTCATGATATGGAGGATTGTTGGACTCTCAAGAGGGCCGTTGAGAATTTGATAGAACAAAAACGAGTGGTGCTGAGGGACGAGGAAGTCCCTAATGTGACTAATAATCCATTACTGGCTCACAACAACGGGCCAGTCATTGGAATGATTTGTGATGATAAAGAGTTTTATCCAGCTTTGAAAGCTATCATCGCCATTGCCGATTCAGAGGCAAGACCTAAAGCAGCGGCGAAACAAGCCAGAAATGAGAAGAAAATCACTCCAACTCCTCAAGTTGCAGAAAAAGCTGTGGAAAAAAATACTGGGGCAGGACCTGCTAAGGACACAATTCTCTATGTTCCTAGGGCCCCAAGGAAAGAACAACTCATATTGAACACTCCCAACAGATTTGAGCAGAGGAAAGTCACGCTAAATATGCCAAAGTTGTATGTGCCAAAAAGGACTTATGTGGCGCGGGTGCTGGTAATTTCACCAAGGTTGACTGAGCCCGTGGTTATTAGCTACGCACCACAGAGCCCTATGAGAGACCCCATTGCAGTCCCCCTGAAATTATAGCAAAACAGTGGTTACTTACAGGGGAAAGGGATTATGGGAGAGGTGAATGAAATGAACCAACCTAGGAAGTACCACAACCCAGAAGAGCAAAAAATGTTAAAACTGAGCAAGGATAAACGGTTTCCGCCTAAGAAGCCTGTGAGCGCTGAGGAAGCAGAAGAGTTTTTTCGAAAAATAAAAACTTCGGAATATGAAATAATTGACCAGCTCAGGAAGACTCCTTCCTAGGTTTCACTTTTATCTCTTTTCTTAGCTCAGATGAACATCAGAAGGTACTCCTGAAAACATTGAACGAGGCATATGTCCCGGTTGAAACTTCAGTTGAACAACTGGAGAGAATGGCTGAAAGATTCTTCGAAGTTAATAGGATTTCCTTCAGCCGTGATGATTTGCCCCAAGAGGGAGCTGCCCACAACAAATCCCTTCACTTGACTGTCAAATGCGAAGGTTATTATATGAAGAGAGTCATGCTAGATGGAGGGTCTGGGGTCGACATTTTCCCTCTCTCAACGCTCTAGAGGATGAAAATTGGAACAGAAAGAATTCTGCCAAACAATGTCTGTGTGCGCGCTTTTGATGGTGTCAAGTGAGACACAGTAGGGGAAATTGATCTGATTTTGACCATTGGCCCTGTGAATTTCGAAGTAACTTTTCAGGTTCCTGACATGGATACTTCATATAATTTTCTCCTAGGAAGACCATGGATTCACGCTGCAGGAGCTGTGCCCTCCACTCTTCATCAAATGGTCAAATTTGAACATGAAAACCAAGAAATTATTGTCCACGGGGAGGATGAACAATCCATTTACAGGGACCCTTCAGTCCCATGCCTCGAAGCTAGAGAAGGAAGTGAGCACATTGTCTACCAAGCCTTCGAAATTGTGGTCGCCGACCAATGCGAAGAAGGGGCCCTGTTCCCTCAACCTTGCTTATCTAATGCCTCGGTCATGGTCGCCACTGAAATGATTAAACATGGGTACAAGCCCGGAAAGGGGCTCAGGGTATCTCTACAAGGCATCATAGAGCCCGTTACTTCAACCGCCAATGAGAAGTTCTTCGGCATAGGTTTTCGAGCTACAGAGGCCGATAGAAAATAGGCTGATGAGCGCAAGAAAAATGGGTGGGTCCTGCCTCAGCCCGTTCCGCATCTCGCCAAGTCATTTATTGATCCCAAATATGTAGAAGAAGAATAAGAAAAGGCTTTCACGACCGAAGAGTTTGAGGATATTTGTGAAGCCATGAAAAAAATGTTGTATGAGTCTCACATGGTCCAGCCGGGGGAAGGAACGAGCACTGATGATGTGTTATACATGGGACCAAATTCCAAGCTTCAGAATTGAAAAGCTACCCCATTCCCTGTCAGGCGGGAATCTCGGTAGTACAGTCGTGCCATCTTTTCTACATTACGAGTTATTTCAGGGTGTAACTCGAATATTTTTATTTTATTGTCTTTTGATTTCGATGTAAACCCTCTTATCTTCAATGAAATGAAATCAAATCAATATTTCATCATCAATGGATGTTTCCTTTTTCTTTATTCTAATTTTGCTATTTTTCTTATCTTTTCCTTTTCAGTTCTAATAATGTAGACTTAAATAACATGACTTGCTTGCAGACTTCATGCCCAGATCCTAAAATGTTGTCTAACTGTGAAATATTGAATCAAGATCTAGAATATTATGAAGATGAGGCTTTTAGGGAAATAAATCAAGAATTGGAACAATTTGAGAATAATCCTAAGCCAAACTTAAATGAAACCGAGCTAGTTAATTTGGGCAGTCCAGAAGAGGTCCGAGAAACCATGATAAGCATTCACGCCGATGAAAGAACTAGGGATGCATTGATCCAACTTTTGTTTGAATTCAAGGATGTGTTTGCATGGTCCTATGATGATATGCCAGGTTTGAGCGTTGATTTGGTAGTACATAAATTGCCAACTTATCCCGGTTACCCATCCCGTACAACAAAAGCAAAGAAAGTTTAAAACAGAAATCAGTGATAAGATCAAAGAAAAAGTCACCAAACAATTAAAAGCTGGTGTAATTCGGGTGGTCCGATACACCACGTGGTTGGCTAATGTGGTCCCAGTGCCGAAAAAAGATAGGAAAGCCCGAGTGTGTGTTGATTATCGGGATTTGAACAAAGTAAGTCCCAAGGACAACTTTCCACTTCCAAACATTCATATTCTTGTTGACAACTGTGCCAAACATGAGATACAGTCTTTCGTGGATTGTTATATTGGGTACCGCCAGGTTGTGATGGATGAGGACTACGCAGAAAAGACGTTTTTCACCACGCCGCGGGGCACTTATTATTACAGAGTCATGCCATTCAGTTTGAAAAATGCCGGGGCAACTTACATGAGTGCTATGGCTGCCATCTTCCATGACATGATGCACCAGTAAATTGAGGTCTATGTGGATGATGTGATCATTAAATCCAGAACAAAAGAAGGCCATGTGTGAGATCTGAGAAAGTTCTTTGAGCGTCTGCACAGGTATGACTTGAAATTGAATCTAGCCAAATGTGCATTCGGAGTTCCATCTGGGAAACTTCTGGGGTTTATAGCTAGCCGGAGGGGTATTGAGTTAGATCCGACAAAGATAAAGTCTATTCGGGATTTGTCACCTCTGATAACTAAGAAAGAGGTCACGAGTCTGCTAGGGAGATTGAATTACATCAGCAGGTTCATTGCTCAGCTTAATACCACATGTGAGTCCATATTTAAGTTGCTGAAGAAAGATGCAACGATCAAATGGACATATGAATGTCAAGAGGCTTTTGATAAGATCAAAGAATATCTGTCAAATCTGCTAGTGTTGGTTCCACCCGAGCCAGGAAGACCTTTGTTCTTGTATGTGACAATCTTGAAAAATTCCTTTGGCTGTGTCCTGGGGTAACATGATATGACCGGGAAGACAGAGAAGGCCATATACTACTTGTGCAAGAAGTTTACCATTTATGAAGCCAAGTATACTTTGTTGGAAAGAACTTGTTGCGCCCTAACTTGGGTCGCCCAGAAGCACAGACATTATATTTTGGCCTATACCACATATCTCATAACTAGAATGGATCCTCTGAAGTACATATTCCAGAAACCAATGCCCACGGGAAGGTTAGCAAAATGGCAAATCCTGCTCACTGAGTTTGACATTGTCTATGTCACCCGTACATCGATGAAAGCTCAAGCCTTGGTGGATCATTTAGCTGAGAACCCGGTTGATGATGAATACCAACCCCTAAGTACTTACTTTCCAGACGAGGAAGTAAATTCAGTTGAAGTAATTCTAGAAGACACCAATGCTTGGAAAATGTTCTTTGATGGAGCTGTAAATGCAAAAGGTGTCGGGATTGGGGCAATTTTGGTTTCGCCCACCGGTCAGCACTATCTGTCCACAGCCCAGCTTCGGTTCTTCTGAACCAACAACACCGCTGAGTATGAAGCTTGCATTATGGGCATGAATATGACAGTTGATATGGATGTGGAAGAATTGTTAGTCATGGGAGATTCATATTTGATCATTCGGCAAGCCACAGGTGAATGGGAAATTCGAGATATCAAGCTTATCCCATATAGGCAACATGTGGAATATCTTAGCAAAAGATTCAAGTCCGTCGAGTTCAGGTATTATCCTCGAGTCCACTACGAGTTAGCTGATGCATTAGCTACTTTGGCCTCAATGCTGCCGTATCCGGGCAATGTCCATATTAACCCGCTGGAAATACAAATTCAAGAAAGGCATGATTATTGTAATACAATTGAAATAGAACCAGATGTTCAACCATGGTATCATGATATCAAAAGGTTTTTGAAAACAAAGAAATATACCGAGCAGGCTAGTGGAGACCAAAAGAGAACCATTAGAAGGCTTGCCAGTTCTTTCTTCTTGAGCGGAGAAATCTTATACAAAAGAACTCCAGCTCTGAATCTTTTGAGGTGTGTAGATGCCCTAGAAGCTAAAAAGATCATGAACGAAGTGCATTCGGGAGTATGTGGAACTCACATGAACGGATATGTCCTTCCAAAGAAAATCCTTCGGGCAGGTTATTACTGGATAATCATGGAAAAGGATTGCTTCAATTTTGTCCGAAAATGTCATCAGTTTCAGATACACAGTGACCTGATTCATGCATCGCCTTCAAAGTTGCATCCTATGCTAGCACCTTGGCCGTTCGTTGCCTGGGGTATGGATGTCATGGGGCCAATCAAGCCGAAAGCTTCAAATAGGCACAGATTCATCTTGGTTGCCATTGATTATTTCACAAAGTGGGTTGAAGCAGTCACTTTCAAAACCGTCACCAAGAAAGCGGTGGTGGACTTCGTGCATTCCAATATTATTTGTCGTTTTGGTATTTCTAAAACTATCATTACAGACAATGCTGCAAATCTGAACAGCCACTTGATGAGGGAGGTATGTGAACAATTTAAGATTACGCATCATAATTCTACCCCTTATCGGCCCAAAGTTAATGGCGTTGTTGAAGCTACAAACAAGAATATCAAGAAGATCCTAAGGAAAATAATTCAAAGTTCTAGACAGTGGCATGAAAAGCTGCCTTTCGCATTATTGGGATATCGCACAACCGTGCGCACATCAGTTGGGACTACGCCTTACTTATTGGTTTATGGCACTGAAGCCGTAATACCTGCAGAAGTTGAAATTCCCTCTCTTCGAATCATTGTTGAAGCCGAGATCGAGGATGATGAATGGGTCAAAGCTCAGTTGGAAAAATTAACTATGATTGATGAAAAGAGAATGGCCGTAGTTTGCCACGGGCAGTTGTACCAACAAAGAATGGCCCGTGCCTACAATAAGAAAGTACGGCCCAGGAAATTCAAAGTGGGGCAACTCGTTCTGAGACGTATTCTCCCACATCATGAGGAAGAAAAAGGAAAATTTGCTCCAAATTGGAAAGGTCCATACATTATAAGAAAACTGTTGCCGAAAGGAGCGTTGTACTTGGGAGACATTCAAGGAAATGACCCCAAAACAGCTGTCAATGCAGATGCGGTCAAGAGGTATTATGTATGACCCTTTTTATTTTCTTTGATAACCCTCTTTGGAACCTGGAAGTTACTACGGAAAAGGAAAAAAAAGAAAAAGATAAAAAAATCAAAAAAATAAAAATAAAAAAATAAAAAACAAAGTTCCTTGAACTACGTTTGACTTGATTCCGAAAGGATACGTAGGCAGCCTCTCTCTGGGGTTTAGTCACACCAAAACAAAAACCTAAATTCTCTCAAAAGTGAAACTGGGGCAGATATTATAATGGTTTGGCGATGGTTTTGTCTGAAAGGTTCCAAAGTTGTAATTCAATCCAAATCCTTTTTACCCAAATCCTTTTCAAGTCCTTCCGATCAATCGGCAAAGAGATTCAAAATGGGAGGATACAGTTTCTCCGATCTGATACAACAAAATGAGAGAAATAAAATGAGAGAGTCTTATCGGTGAAAACCTCACGGGCACCATAAGGCGATGGTAAGCAGAGAAATTTGAAAATGAGAGTCTTGTTAGTGAAAACTCACAAAGAGCACTATAAGGCAATGTTGAGAAGAGAAATGAGAGAGGCCAGCTGGTGAAAACCCGCAAAGGGCGCCACTGATCGAAAAGAGGATCCTCATAGTCACTGGCATCGACACAGTCCTGGGCAAAGTTTCTCAGTCTCAAGGCAAGAGTTGTGATGAATTTCTGAGAGTTGAACGGTTTACACAGATCAGGCATCTAGTTCAAGAGGCATGTCATGTTCATTGAAGTCCGTATACACTCCAGATAAGTCCTTTCTTTTCCCCGAAAGGGATACCTCTTGTCTAAATTCATTTGTCCATTCCATTGTTTGCTTTTCTTTGAATCCTTTTTGGTTTAACTCTGTTCCAAAACTAAGACAAATAAGGGAAGGAAGGATTGATTTACAGGGTTCTCACTTGATACAAGCCAGTATGCAAAAGAAAAGGCACCCAATCTCGGCAAGGGCATCAAGTCGACTCCAACTAGCCATGTTGGCCGATATTTCGAAATCAAAAACTGTTGAAAGAGGAAATTCAAAGTCAAATGCCCACAAGGGCAAAATAAAAGTTGATAAGGTTAAGTCCCACGTGACTAACCATCATGGCAAAGTCCGAAAAAGCTAGAGGTTCTCCGAGTTTAGAAATGCAATCGATATTCAGGAAATAACCAGTTGCAACTGAAAGGGCCGAGACCAAGTGACTGAAACAATCAAGGCCACAAAACCAACCACCATTTCAAACTGACAGATTATTCTTTGTTTGAAAAAAATAGGAAACAGGTGCAATCCAAAAGCAACCTTGCAAGAAGCATGTGCAACCAAAATGAAATTGCGCAAAGGCTAGAAACAGTTTTGCAGCAACTACTCCAAAAGGGAAGTCTCCTCCAAAACTTCTTTCCCGCAACTACTCCAAAAGGGAAGTCTCCTCCAAAACTTCTTTCCCGCATTTACTCATTATCTGAAATAAAAAAGAAAAAAATGATGTTGAAAAAAAAAAGGTTCAAAATCACGGTAGTATAGGGTCTCCACTCCCTAGTCTGATTTTACAACATAGGGTCTCCACTCCCTAGTTGATGATTATTTTAGACATAGGGTCTTCACTCCCTAGTCGTTCTTTCAACATAGGGTATCCACTCCCTAGTTGATATATTTAGACATAGGGTCTCCACTCCCTAGTCACGTTTCCAACATAGGGTCTCCACTCCCTAGTTGATGATTTTTAGACATAGGGTCTCCACT